TTTTTTTGGAAACTGACTGAAATTTCCCCAACAGAGCAATTGCAAGAAATAGAAGTGATACTAGAACATTGCTACAGTTCCTGCCAACATTGCTTCTATCCATAAGCAGCACTCTAGAGGAGATGCTGGACACTGGACTATTGAGCGTCACTGTTAAACCTGGTAAGAGTCAAGCAAATGTCACACTGGGGAAAAGGGAATTCGTGCCTAATTATTAAAGACAAAAGGATAAACAACAAGAAATGGATATGCACCTTTCTTTCCATGATGCTTTGTCCAGTTTATGTGTACGTCACATATCTGAGAATCAAATGTTGATGGCAGGAACCATGCTATTTGTTCAGTACTTTTTTTTTTTAAAGATTTTATTTATTTATTCATAGAGATACAGAGAGAGAGGGGGGCGGAGATACAGGCAGAGGGAGAAGCAGGCTCCAGGCAGAGAGCCTGACGTGGGACTCGATCCAGCGTCTCCAGGATCACGCCCTGGGCTGCAGGCGGCGCTAAACCACTGCGCCACCAGGGCGGCCCTGTTCAGTACTTTTAAGTCCATTTCCCAAGCCTATCTAAACTGCATTGTTCAACATGGCAGGTACTGGTTACATGTGACTATTCAGCACTTAAAAAGTGGCTAGTCTGAATTGAGAAGTACCTTAAGTGCAAAATACACATGAAATTTCAAAGACTTAGTACAAAAAACAATGTAAAATATCTCAATAAAGTTTTCATATTGATTACATGTTGACATGGCAATATTTTGGATATATTGGGTTAAATAAATTGTTTGGCCATGCAGCATATTTTACATTTTCTAGAGCTTTCAAAAACCAATACTTATTTGGCTGCCCAAATAAGTAAAATCTTAAAAACAATCACCTGAGGACACACTGATAAAATTTCCTAAAATGATTTCCCTGGGAGTTATAGATTAAAAAAAGAAAAGGAAAGAAAAGAAATTAGTTTTGGCTAATTTTGACCTCCCAACACACACATTCGTAGGTTACGTAAAAGGCACTGTATTAAGTGCTCTACATGTTAGGTTCTTAAACAATAGCCCTGAAAAAGAAAATACAAAAGACTGATGGTTTAAGTAACTAGCATCTCATCTAAAATACTAAGTGGTGGGCAGCCCCAGTCGCGCAGCGGTTTAGCGCTGCCTGCAGCCCAGGGCGTGATTCTGGAGACCCTGGATCGAGTCCCACATCAGGCTCCCTGCATGGACCCTGCTTCTCCCTCTGCCTGTGTCTCTGCCTCTCTCTCTCTCTCTCTCTCTGTGTCTCTATGAATAAATAAAAAATCCTAAAAAAAATTTTTTTTAAATAAGATAAAATACTAAGTGGTAAAGGTAAGAATGAAATCTCCATGATTTCAAAGCCCTGGCTCTTCACTTGTAACACCTCTCAACTATACATCATCTCTATCTCCTCTGGACTCTCATAGAAATCTATCTGTTACTGGGGATCCCTGGATGGCTCAGCATTTAGCACCTGCCTTTGGCCCAGGGTGTGATCCTGGAGTCCCGGGACTGAGTCCTGCATCAGGCTCCCTGCATGGAGACGCCTTCTCCCTCTGCCTATGTCTCTGTCTCTCTCTCTGCGTCTCTCATGAATAAATAAAATCTTAAAAAAAAAAAAAATCTGTTACTCTCTACTTTCTACCTTGTATTATAGATATACTACTAGATTTTAAGTTCCTAAAACACAAGATATATATCTGACTCACCTTTGTGTACTCTGCTGCATCTAGTATTGAACTTCACAAAAAATAAGTATGTAATAAATATACTGGCATATTAAAGAAAGCAAGTGTAGTTTGCCAGGTCCTGAGAAACCAGACAAAAGTGTCAAGCTCTTCTTAGACTTAACATTGTCTCAAACCATATATCTTGAGTTAACAAGTATCACATTATTCCCTGACTTCTCAAAAGCTTTAACCTTAATATCATTAATTCTAGTAGTTACTACTAGAGGAATCAAGAAATGGAGTACTTGTAACTGAGCCCAAATACGCTGAGGTATTAACAATCTGAATTTATAAACTCTGCCATACAACTTCCTAAAATATATTATCTGGATGAATCAAAAGGGATGTTTCTTCTGTTTTTCACGATCATACTCACCATAACAGTCTAGCATCAGCAGTAAGTCCCGCAATTGAGATACCAATATGGTTATCAACATGAAGAATTTTCTTCTGATGAGCTGCAAGCTCTGACTGTGCTCTCTAAACAGAAACATTATAAAACATAAAAACACATTTATAATTTTATTTCAGTGAAACTTAAATTTGTTAGTTCCATTTTCTTTCTTTTTTTTTAAAGATTTATTTATTTATTTATGATAGACACAGAGAGAGAGAGAGAGAGAGAGAGAGCGCGCGCGAGAGAGAAGCAGAGACGCAGGCAAAGGGAGAAGCAGGCTCCATGCTGGGAGCCGGATGTGGGACTCGATCCCGGGACTCCAGGATCATGCCCTGGGCCAAAGGCAGGCGCCAAACCACTGAGCCACCCATGGATCCCCGTTAGTTCCATTTTCTACATGAAGAAGATTTATGTACTGCTTTACTCACCTTCAATGCAACCAACACTGCATGGGTTTTTGATTTCAGACCAACTGTGGCTGAACCTTGTTTGACAGCCTCCATTGCATATTCAATTTGATGAATCCTGCCCTAAAGAGAAAACACATCTTACAGTCACCTTTTTTATATTTAATATTCATCTAGTGGTCCCAAATCTCAGGTGAATATAGTTAAAATCTCAAAATATTTTTTTAAATTTTAATTTAATTTTTTTAAAAGATTTTATTTATTTATTCATGAGAGACACACACACAGAGAGAGAGAGAGAGAGAGAGAGAGGAGAGAGAGAGGCAGAGACACAAGCAGAGAGAGAAGCAGGCTCCATGCAGGGAACCCAACGTGGGACTCGATCCCGGGACTCCAGGATCACGCCCTGGGCCAAAGGCAGGCGCTAAACCGCTGAGCCACCCAGGGATCCCCAAGATTTTTTTTTTAAACTAGGAAAGTCACTTTAAAGATAAACTTATGTTCCAGGAATGTCTAAAATGATTATATTCCATATTCTCACAGCCTACAGTTTCATGAGTTTCTTTGCTTTTAAAGTAGGCTCTTCGCCCAACATGGGACTCAAACTCATGACCCCAAGGTCAAGAGTCGCACGCTCTACCGGTGAGCCAACGAGGTGACCCTCATCAGTTTCTTTCTTTTTTTAAAAAATATTTTATTTATTCATGAAAGACACAGAAAAAGAGGCAGAGTCACAGGCAGAGGGAGGAGAAGCAGGCTCCAGGCAAGGAGCCTGATGTGGGACTTGATCCTCGGACTCCGGGATCACACCCTGGGCGCAAGGCAGACGCTCAACCGCTGAGCCACCCAGGCGTCCCTCCTTATGAGTTTCTAAAGCCACACATAAAAGTATAAAATATTCTTACCTGAGGGCTCCAAACAGTGACGTCATTGTCATACTGGTTGCGAAACTGCAAGTGAAAGAAAAAAAGACCCATGAACTTTCGAAATACCACAAATTTTAAACAAGCTCTATCGTCAAACAACGTCCTCCCACCTGTTTCCATTCAACAGCAACACGAGCTGTTCACACAGCCTCACTGGAGGATCACGACTGTGGTCGGTCGCAAGCCAATTCCGAATTTACCCTGAGCTAGAAGGGAGAGGCCGATCTGGATCTCGATGGGACCTATCTTCCCAACTTCCGATTCTACTACCGTTGGTAGCACTCCCTTTGGATTCAGTCACTACGGTTCATAGGGTCGTGTTCCCTTCTCTCATGCTTATGCTCTTCTCTTACACTGGCCCTAATAAATGGTTAAAAGCACTTACCAAAAACAAAACAAAAAAAGCAAAAACCCCAAAACCAGCTCAAAATTCTACCTCTTTAGGTCATCTCCACCTTTCCTCCCCAAATTCCAACACATCCTCCCAGCCCTTCTCTCTTCACTCTGTGATCAGAGCCGCGGCAGATTTATCTTCCAACCCTTACTGCACTCAAAACGGTGCCCTGTACGTATGTATAAACGTTCCTATTGAATGAACAGACGCGAGGATGTCCTCGGGAGGGGAGATGCCGACGCAAACAGCTCCAGGGTCAGAATCGTTAGGGCCTCACGATACAGCGAGAAAGGTGGAGGAGAGAGGAGGGGGCGCGTGAGAAAGGCGAGCGCGGGGTCTGCAGAGGGGAGGCTGCAAGACCCGAGCCCAGGCTGGAACCATGCGCACGCGTCTCCTCTCGGCCTCGGTTTGTTCATCTGTAAAACGGGGTGGCCCGGACAGAGGGATTGAAAAGCATCTGTTGCCATCAAGCTCTAGGGCGGAAGAGAAATCGGGCGGCCCCGCAGGTAAGGCGGCCGCCGTCCTGGACCCCGAGGCCGGGGGCCGAGCCCGCACTGGCGGTACAGGGAAGCCGCCGGGTCGATCCCTAGTTCCTGTTCCTTTCCTCCCAGCACCCGCTCCTCCGACGGACCTGGAGCGGCGAGCACGTCCGGGGCCCGGCGGACAGCGAGACGAGCCCCGGAGAGCGGCCGCACCGACTCCCCGCCGCCCCTCGGGGCCAGGCCGGAGATGCTGAATCACCGCCGAACCCTCCCGGCGGCGGCGGGCCCCGAACCCCGCGGCCCCGGGCGGCTCTGCGGAGGTCGGGGGGCGCGGCTCGCCATCCCCGCCCCCCCCCACCCCCCGGCGGCGCACCTCAGCCCCAGCCCTGCCCGCGCTCCGAATCCAACGCACCATGGTTCCGGCGCGGGTCCCGCTGCGGCCTCCGGCAGAGGTGGCGGCTTCAGGAGCGCGGCCGCAACTACCGCTCGGCAATCTACAGAGAAGCCTTCGGGATCTGGACGGCGGCGGCGCAGGGCACGGCAGTCGATCCCAGAGATATCGATAGACGCCCAACGCTTTCCCCGCCCTCAGAAAAGCCCCGGGGCCCCTGGGAAGTGGGCGGGGCCTCGGAAGAAGGAGGAGTTGAGGTTGGCGCGAAATCTGCGGCGGCTGGTTGCTGCGGGGGCGGCTGCTACAAATCACCCTTCTTGGATGCTCCGTGATCATTACCAGGGCCCTTGCGGAGTCCCGCCAGCTCCTCAGCGGCCCGGCAGATCCACCAGAAATGGCTCGAGACCACGCCTGCGATTCCAGGTGATCCGGTGTGCCGCCGGACATCGCTCGCTCGGGGACCACGGAGATGGGGCGGGGGGGGGGGGCTGCAAGGATGAGGCTGCAAGGATGAGGCTGTGAGAAAGACCACAGAGGGGATCCCTGGGTGCCTCAGCGGTTGGCCCGGGGCGTGGTCCTGGAGTCCCGGGATCGAGTCCCGCGTCCGGCTCCCTGCGTGGAGCCTGCTTCTCCCTCTGCCTGCGTCTCTGCTTCTCTCTCGCTCTGTGTCTATCATGAATAAATAAATAAAATCGTAAAAATAAAGAAAGAGCACAAAGTAATGGTCCGTTTGTAGATGTCAGCCACACTCTTCGTCAAGCGTGTTGTTTGTGTACACGCTGTTCTTTCTACCGCGGAATCCTTTGCTCCGTTCCCCGGAGATAGCTTCTTCAAGGCCCCGTTGCCACTGATCACCCGTTGTGATCCTCCCTGGTTTCCTCTACAGGACTTTGAACTCCACGAGGGCGCTCATCATGCCTTTCTATGGTCTCAAAACCATCCATGAGGCTTGGTTTTTTATGTTTTTAAACTTTTTTTTAATCTGGTAGATTGGACCACTGAGAAAAACTGGCCGTTTTCTTCCGAAACACTGGTTTTCTCTGTTGAGGATTTTTGGCAAGTCCCCAGATGAAAGACTTGATTTAGTATAGCTCTGCAAACCTCTGTCCGTTCATTTTATTTTATTTTATTTTATTTTTTTAAATATTTTTTTAATTTTTATTTATTTATGATAGTCACAGAGAGAGAGAGAGGCAGAGACACAGGCAGAGGGAGAAGCAGGCTCCATGCACCGGGAGCCCGACGTGGGACTCGATCCCGAGTCTCCAGGATCGCGCCCTGGGCCAAAGGCAGGCGCCAAACTGCTGCGCCACCCAGGGATCCCGTTCATTTTATTTTAAAAAAGATTTTATTTATTTATTCATGAGAGAGAGAGAGCGGCAGAGACGCAGGCAGAGGGAGAAGCAGGCGTCCCTTGGGGATCCCGATGCGGGACTCGATCCCAGGACTCCGGGATCACACCCTGGGCCAAAGGCAGATGCTGTACCTCCGAGTCCCCCCAAGGTGCCCCACATCTGTCAGCTTAATATCTACTTTCCACCAATGATGATGATTAATTTTCTTTATAAAGTAGAAGAGGTAACTACCTAGGTTCAGGTAAGTTAGGAGTTGAAAGGGTCCTTAGTGATCTAAACGTTGCGGTTGAAGGAACAGACTCAGATCACTTAAGTGATTTGCTCGAGTTCGGAGCAATTTAGTATCACAGTCTTTTTAAACCCCTCCCTTTCATATATATGTTCTTTCCCTGTTACACATTTTCCAGGTTAAATAGGACTTCCTAGTATCTGCATTATGAACACACGATGCTTTATTTACCCAAGTCCCTATTGTTTGATATTTAGGTTCCCCCTGCACACCCACTTGTTTATATGCTGCTTGATACATGTTTTTATACTCCTTTCCTTAGAATAAGTTCCTAAAAATTGCAGGATCAAATGAAATGGATTTTTCTAAAGCTATTAATAAAAAGTGCTAAATTGCCCTCCAGAAATGTTTTACTGGTTTATACTCTCCACAATAGTATATGAGCATCTCCTCCTCCTTAAACTCACCAATATTGGTTGTTGTCATTTTTCAAAATCACTGTTAATTTAGTAGATTAAATTATCAAATTTAAATTAACTATTCTTTTTTTTCTAACACTCAGCATAATGCCTAGTACATACTAAATGCTTAATAAATATTGTTTAATAAGTGTTGAATGATTACTCATTTAAAAAATTTTAGATAGTACAGGGGATGCCTGGGTGGCTCAGTGGTTGAGCGCCCAACTTCGGCCCAGGGCGTGATCCTGGGGACCCGGGATCGAGTCTCACATCGGGCTCCTTGCATGGAGCCTGCTTCTCCCTCTGCCTGTGTCTCTGCCTCTCTCTCTCTCTCTCTCTCTGTGTGTGTGTGTGTCTCTCATGAATAAATAAATAAAATCTTTAAAAAAAATAAAAATTTTTATATAGTACATAACATTTTGACTATTCTACATATGTATATAGTCACTTGCTCCAAAAATATGTATAATGGGGGCACCTGGGTTACTCAGTCCGTTAAGTATCCAACTCTTGATCTCAGCTCAAGTTTTGATCTCAGGAATTGTGAGTTCAAGCCCCTAGTTGGGCTCCATGCTGGGCATGGAGCCTACTTAAATATATGTGTGTGTGTATTATATATATATATATATGTGTATGTGTGTGTGTGTGTGTGTATATATATATATATAGTTGTTTTTACAAATAAAATCATACTGAACTGTTTTATAATACACTTAAGGTCACGCAGGGGTGCCTGGGTGGCTCAGTTAAGTATATGACTCTTGGTGTTGGCTTAGGTCATGATCTCAGGGTCATGAAATGGAGCCCCATATTGGCTACATGCTCAGTGGGAAGTGTACTTGAGATTCTCTCCCTCTCTCTCTCTCCTCCTCTGTTTCTTCCCGTGCTTGTGCACATGTGAGCATGCTCTCTCTTAAATAAATCTTTAAAAAAGGTTATGGCCATGTTTTTGTGTTCTTAAGTAATGACATATATTATTATTATTTAAATGATATATATTATTTTGAATAGTTGCATATTATTCCATTGTGTAGAAATACAGTAATTAACTTAGCTATGGGTGAGCCATTAGATTAATTCCAAGCCTTTGCTATCATAAAAATACTATAGTGAATATTCTTATACATACACATATTTTATGTACTTTCCTGATTGCCTTCTTATGATGAATTCATGGTAATAGAATTGCCCAGTCAAAGGGAACCTGCATTTATAATTATGATTGTAAATATGGCTAAATTACAAAAAAATTAAGTTATATCAATTTTTTTCTACAGTGCCCGTGAATTCTACTTTCGTTATGCCTTCACAAGCACTGAATAGGGTGAGTACTTTTTACTTTTATCAAGTTGATAGAAAAAGAAAAAAAACTCTTTAGTTTTATTTGTATTTTTTGAGTACTAGCAAAAAAAATCTTTTCATGTACTTCTTGACTATTTACGTTGCTTTAGTGAATTGTCACTTAGCATGTAGCTATATGGGGGGGAGGGGGGAGGGCTGCCTGAAAAACATCGTCTATGGGAATGACAGTGGGGATGGTTTTCATGTACCTTTTTGTTTTTGTAAAAAGAAAAACTTGGAAAGACTGAAAGAATACATTTTATATCTGGATTTTTACAAATAAAGATGGCTATTATAATGGAAAAAATATTTTTTTCCTCTATTTTTATTAGTCATTTTCTCATTGATTTTAGGAGTTCCCTTCCATTAGGAAGTTAACCCCTTGTTACCATGTTACTTTTCTGGAAGGAATCTGTTGAATACAAAGAAAAGAAACCCAATGAGTCTAAGTCAAGTAAAAGTTGGGGGGAGGGGCAACATGGGAATACTGCAAATATGTAATAGGGAATCACATAAACATTCAAGGATAGGAATTTTTTATTTGCTGAGGTATTTCTAGTGCTTAGAACAAAGCCTGAGCCTGGATGGCTTAGCAGTTTAGGGCTGCCTTCAGCCCAGGGGTGGGCAGGTGGGGGTGGGTCTGGAGGGGTGATCCTGGAGGCCTGGGATGGAGTCCCATGTCAGGCTCCTTGTGGGGAGCCTGCTTCTCCCTCTGCCTGTATTTCTGCCTCTCTCTCTCTCTCTCTCTCTCTCTCTCTCTGTGTCTTTCATGAATAAATAAATAAAATCTTAAAAAAAAAAAAAGAACAAAGCCTGGTATAATAATAGACACTCACTAAACATATGTTTAATGAAAGAATGATGAATCTCTTACTCTCAAACTTGCCCTTTTGATTATTATCTCCTAAGCAAATGTATGAGGCTTTGTGATACATTATTCATTAACAGTGATTGTCTAGACTCTTCGGAGTGGCTCTTGTCAAAGCTCCACATATGAGCCATCAGAAGGGCCATTTGATTGTCCTTTTTGTTGAAACTGAAGTTCCTAAGCACTTACTGAAGTTTTTATATGACTTTGAGCTCCTCTCTGCATGTTTTGGGGATTTGGCTTAGGATACATCTTGGTCCTTACCCAAGAGCTGAAAAATTGATCAGTAAAGATATTTTGTAAGAAGACTACATCAGGAAATGTAGCACTACTTCTTCAATTTAAAGGCCATTGGTTAGTTTATATCAGGCTTTTTAAGAATCAGATAAAAAGTAAATACTAAATAAAAGCCAAGTTGAAATTTTTTCCCTATGGGCATATAAATCTCAGTATGTTACTCTGTTTAGCAACTGTAATTGGTTCACTATACAAGTGAGATATGTATGGTGCAATCTGCAAATAACTGATTATTTTCCCCCATATATTAAAACACACCAAGTGGACGGGGCACCTGAGTGGCTCAGTTGGTTGAGCATCCAACTCTTGATTTTGGCTTGGGTCATGGTTTTAGGGTTCTGAGATCAAGCCCAGAGTAGAGCTCTGTGCTGAGTGTGGAGCCTGTTGAAGATTGTTTCTCCCTCTCTCCCTCTCCCTTGACCCCTCTCTCACTCCCCCCAGGGCATGTGCCCTGGCACTCTCTCTCTTAAAAAACAAAAAACATGGGATCCCTGGGTGGCGCAGCGGTTTAGCGCCTGCCTTTGGCCCGGGGCGCGATCCTGGAGACCCGGGATCGAATCCCACATCAGGCTCCCGGTGCATGGAGCCTGCTTCTCCCTCTGCCTATGTCTCTGCCTTTCTCTCTCTCTCTCTCTGTGTGACTACCATAAATAAATAAAAATTAAAAAAAAAATCTGTTTAAAAACAAAAAACAAAAAACATGCCAGTGGAGTTAATGACTCCCTGCTCCTTGAATGAAACATGGCACAAATATCACAAGTACTAACTAGTCAATTCAACAGCCTTATACTAGTAATTGATACATTCAGTATAATAATAAAATCTTTAGGAGTTTATTTACCTCTTCCCTCCAGCTTGAACCTGCAATGATAAAAGGGGAATGGGTGACTTCCTTTCTGTGTCCGTACCTAAAATTTCTTTTTTAATACCCTTTCCCATTACCGACAACAAGTAGGTTGCCTTATTTCTCCCAAGTTGGAACAGAGGGAAGGGCAAGAGAGAGAGTTCTTAACATGGCTAATATAGTTCTGTAATTAAAGGTGGATGCTCTCTGAGCTTAACAGGTGTTTACAATTGACACTTGTTACTCTATGCGTTCTTTGAAAACACCTCTAGCCTCACCTTACACTGATGAGCAAATCCTGGCCATCTCTTGCTTGCCCTTGGGTAAATGTTCGCAATCTGGCAATAAGCTCGATGTCAGTAGCTAGCATCTGTGCTATATGCCTCAAGCTTCTTTCTGTGGAAGTCTCTACTCTTCCACTTGGCTCTTTCTTCCGTAGCCCATATCTGATCCAAATATCCACAGAGTGGCTTTGCCTTACATCTCTGGAAGTATGGATTTTAACCGAACTCAAAATTCATCTCTGCAGTTAGCTAGTCATCTTTGCTTGTCCAGATTCCCCTAAAATGTTGGCAGGGGATAAAAGCAGGGGATTTTCATGTGTTTCATTCACTGCTGTAGTCACCTGTGCCTAGAATAGTACCTGTACTATAGCAACTGTAACTGGTTCACTGTACAAGTGAGATGTGCACTAATAAGTGCTCTGTAAGTATTGAATGAATGATTTCCTCAGATATGATCCTGACACTAATCCACTGTGGCCCTCAGAATCTCCAGCTCGAAGAGCCATATATCAAAGTTCCATTAAAGCCTCTCTGCCTGAGCATGAAGATGAGGAAAAGCAATGTCAACTGTTGCACACTAAAAACCCTCTCAAAATCTAAACTTCAACCTTTTTTGACTTAGAAGTCGATAGACAAGTAAGAGTTGCAAAAGCAGTCCCCTCCCCCCCAATTTTTTCAATTTCCTCTTCTGGTGGTCTTCCACTTTACCATGGAATGTGGGAATAATTTATTTTCTTAGAGTCATAGACAAAAGTGAGATAAAGTCTCATTTTAACACCCTGCTACACACATATAACAATTGCACCTATTTGTTTACATATTGTCTCCATCTATTAAATCATAATAGATGGATGACAGGACCTATATTTTATATATATATATATATATACACATATATACACACACATATATATATGTATATATATAATGTGTTATACAAACTATGCTCAATATAGTTTAAAACGTTAAGAATGAATAAAAGTACACTAGCTCTAGTAGTAATAATTCCAAACATATTGCGTACTACCAAAGGTTAATGTATAAAACTGTCTTTCCAATACTCTTTTAATAAAAATCTTTAAATTTGGGAGTATTTTTTTCTATTTAAAAAAATTAATTGAAGTAAAATTGACATATAATATTATATTAATTCCAGGTACAACATAGCTATTGGACAATTATATATGTCAGACAATTATGTACATTACAAAATGCTTACCACAGTAAGTGTAGTCACCACCTATCCACCATACAAAGTTATTACAGTATTATTGACTGTATACCCTATGCTGTACTTTTTATCCCTGTGACTTATTTTGTAGCTAGAAGTTTGTATCTCTTAATTCCTAAATTTGGAAATATTTATAGCAAATTTGTATATGTTACTTTATGTTACTGTGCTAGATAGTCTCCATTGCCCCTAGATCTTCAGCTTTTATGGACTATATTAGCAATGTCACTTTCCCCTCTGGCTTCTGGTTGAGCTTAGCTGATAGAGGGCACTAGCAGGAGATCTGAAAGCAGTGGGAGAGGGATACCTAGGTGGCTCAGTGCTTAAGCGTTTGCCTTCGACTCAGGGCGTGATCCTGGAGTTCTGAGATCGGGTCTCGCATCGGGCTTCCTCCATGGAGCCTGCTTCTCCCTCTCCCTGTGTCTCTCATAAATAAATTAAATCTTTTTTTTTTTTAAAGCAGTGGGAGAAAGAGATCTGGGGGTATTTATTACCCTCCCTCTCTCCACCTTGGCCACAACTACTTGGCAGTGATACTATATCATCTCTTGCTATTTCCTTGCCCACATTCTGAGTATACTCTCTTGATTTGTGCCTTTTGAGTGTGCCATCTGTTTCCTGCTGGGACTCTGACTGATTCAATAATATTTAAAATTTTTACAGAGTACAGGAGGTATACATAAAAGTATACAATACCTTTTTTTTTTAATGTGAGAAAAACTTGTTTTCTTTTCCTGAAGTTGAGTTTATATTATACTTCTAAGAATGTTAGTATTGGTAGGTCTGAAACAGCCGGAAAGTAGAAACTAAGATTATGATGTATACCCTTCCCTGTTTTTTTACCTGCTCAAATATACAGGGGAAAAAGCTTACCATTGGTTGTAAAATTATAAAGATTTTATATTTTTTTCCAATAATAAAAGGAATACGCATTTAATTAAACTTTTTCAAATGCAAATGGTATGAAACAAAATCCCTTATAATCCATTAGGTAGAGAAAAATCACTGTTAAAATTTTAGTGATTTTTTCCCCCTACAATATGTATCTAAAGAAAGGAGGACAATTACCCTGAGAATATATTTTCTAATATTTATAATATGCATATGTGTATTGTAGGTGTGGCTCTCATTCCATAGAAATAATTACCGCATTTCTTTAGATCAACCTGAATCTAACCCTGAGCTCCCACCCTGCCATGCTGGTGAGAAAGTCAGTCTCAGTTACTGAGCATTTCCTCTCCACCTATGATTTTATGAAGTTTCTAGGGCCTTAGCTATTGTGGAAGTACCTGGCAATTATTGTTATTATTATTTAATGGTTTTATTTTTCATTTATTTGAGAGAGCAAAAGAGAGTACACGAGTTGGGGAGAGGGGCAGAGCGAGAGGAAGAAGCAGACTCCCCACCAAGCAGGGAGCCATGATTCTGAGATCATGACCTGAGCCACCCAGGCTCCCTG